TTTTCACCGGCTTCAGAGGGCTCACATCGACCTGTGGGGGCCCGCGCTGACCTCCGAGGGCGCAAAATGGGTCTATTTCGGCATCTGGGGGACTCCGACTGCTTTTTGGGTGCCTACGGCCTCAGGCCGTTGAGGTGAGGGTCCCTACCTGTCTCTGAAGGTCACATTTCGACATTCGATATCCTTATTTTTGGTCACAGCAGAGGCCCATGCAGTTCCCTTAAGGCCCAATGCCAACGGTCATATAGCCGCTTCTGATGGCCCCACGTCCTCTTTTGAAGGCACCTCAGCTAGGGGTCACCAGAGGCCTGCCAGGGGCACCACCGGCCTCGCAGGGGCACTATGGGCCTGTCAGGGGCACCACAGGGCACGGGCCTGTCGGAGCGGAGGCACTTCAGGCTTGTCAGGGGCACCACAGTCTTGTCAGGGCCCAGGGAATAAAGTGACCATCCCTGATCCCACCTTAACATTAGTTTTGAGTTGAGGACGAGGTAGCCAAATTTGGGTCCCCGGCTTGCACTTACCGGTTTTGGCACTCACAACATCGAGAAAGACTTTAATTCGGAGATATTTTATTTCAAAATTGCAGCATGTGCTTATAGTTACGGAGGTGTAAACAAATCCAGTTGTGGCGATATAAAACGGCTTTATTTACTTTGTTTGTATGAAAGAGTGTTAATTACGGAAAGGTGTAAGTTACGGTAAAGCTCTATGAAACGAGGCCCTGATCTGAAGAACGCCTTGGCCGATTACGCTCAAATTTGGTACATCGCTTGAGACCGGTTAGTGGGGCGCCGTGCACAAGTCATTTGGAAGTACCCCTCGCAATTCCGCTTATGTAAGGCTTACCCTCTCGCTCGTTCGTTTGTCGCCCCGAAAGGCGTTTTACTGTATGTTTTAGGGCCTTGTTTTACTGGTTTTACAAAATCATACGTTTTGGTGTAATCCCGTCCTGCTGCAAACCGACTAATGCCGCAAAAGATGGCATGCACAGTGTGCATGTGCACACACACTGCATCTATCTGCATCTACACTATATCTGCATCACTGCATAGTATAGTCCGATGCGAGAGTGAGTAAGCGTATTGCTTTAAAGGTTCAAGTTTTCATTTCTTCTTTACGCACGTTGATAAAATTTTATGTTCACTTTAATTTATGTTTTTAGAACTTCTTAGTTCTTAAGTAGCTTGACTGCGAATCCGTGCAGATGAACATTCCTTCAAATCCTAGTTAACTGTGCGAAGTTTGTATTATCATGTTTCACACCCACACGATAAATACGAGGCACTCCACAAGCTCACGCAAGCACACATAAACACACATTTGGCATTCACATTCAACTGTGCAATCAGGTACAGATATCAAATAACCAGCTCGTTATGGGGACTGTGGAATTAAGAATTTAGTTGCCGTAGGCGGGCTTGTAGGTGGGCTTGTAGCTGGGCTGAGGGTAGCTGGGCTTGTAGCTAGGCTTGTACTCGTCGTAGCGGGCCTCACCCTCGTAGGTGACGTCAGCAATGGTGCCAGAGTAGGCGTCATCCACACGGTAGGTGACCGTCTGGGTACGGCCGTCGGGCAGCACAACCGAGTAAGATCCCTGGGTAGCGTAGCCGTCACGCGCCTCTTGGGCGTTGAAGACGGGCTCGTAGTCTCCGTATCCGTGGACGTCGTAGCTGTAGTCGTACTTGGGCGGCTGGTCGTAGCTCTCCTGCTTGTAGGGAGCGGGCTTGTAGGCCGGCTGGGGGTGGTAGGCGGGCCTGGGCGCGTAGGAGGGCGCGCTATCGGCGGCGGCAACGGCCAGCAGGGCGGCGACCACGAAGAACTGAAGCACAAGGAACAGCACTTGTCATGGCACGTTTTCCCGGGATCCAATTGCTGTAGTGCACAAAATATTTAGGCAGGCTATACATTGTGGTCATTTATAAGTGATCGGGATGGATGATTATGTTCCTTTAACAAAAAAAAACCTATTGATTCTATTGTGAACAAGAATAAAATTGATTTAAGGAGACACATAGATGTTTCTTTTCATTCAATATAACTTTCTGCTCCTGCTTGTGCCAGTAGATTGTTGCAGGTTTGTTTCTGCCTTGCACTTACCTTCATGTTGAGTGTGCTGTGGAGCTGTGTGATCAACTGATGCCGACCTGCGGACCGGAGCGGCTTTATACGGCTCGGAGCCGGGCCGTGACCCGGCCGTGGTGGGGCGTGGTCCACGGCCGGCCCAGCGGCGGCGCCGTATTATTATATGGACCGTGACCTTGTGCGGGCCGGCCAGCGCCGCGCCGGTGACAGCTGTGCCCTCCGCCGTGGTGCAACGGGCGCCAGCGGCCTCTTAATCCCATCTGTGACCTATCGACGCAGAACGACCGCACCGCAGGGGCACCGGGCGAGACGGACCCACCCCCGCCCCTGTGAGCGAAACCCACCGACCTCCGCCCCTTCCCTGCCGTGACCGGACCCGCCCGACAGACGGGGAGAGACGGCGGGGGGCGGGACGATGGAGCGGACGGACGGGGAGCACGCGATACCAGTGACCGTGACCTGTCCTGGAGCAGCAGCTGGCGTAGATCAAATTGGTATCGAACAATCTCGTTATCGACAGTGACTTTTTAGTTCTTCTCTCAACTGTAGTTGGCTGCATGACTGGTAGAAATTGATTGTCGTTGGTCGTTTGTAAAAAAGATGACATCCTCCACAATAGTTGTGGTACACCTTTTACTTTGCAATCTTACTCATTGTATGGGTAGCTCGCTAACAGGTTTTGCCCTCTTCAATTGTATCAGGTTACCTGTTGAAATCCTTCAGTTCTTGTCTTGTTACACCCGTATTATATCACTGTGCAGTGTGCACTTCATTCTGCTTAGCTCAATATCACTGTGCACGCTTCTGTGCACTGTGCAGGCTTCTGTGCAGGTTTTCGCGCCCTGACGTTGGGTGACCGATCGATCTGGATGTCAAAGCCTGTCTGATTGGACCTCGGGGTTTTGGCATATCTGTTGTCACTCTTTAGGTGCCTGGCTTTCTATGCGCTATTGGGGCAATAAATACGGCCTCTAATCCTACGCCAAACAACTAAGCGATGCGTCTAAGAAGCTTATTTAGTTTTGTCTTCAATCAGCTCAAAAACCGAGACGTGAATCAGAAATTTAGCTCGTTTGATTCTCATATACTTAAATTTAATCAAACGATAAGTCTCACGAATGTTTTTTTTAGCGTGCGCTTAAGCGGTTGAACCGCAAAGAATGAAACGACGCAGAGTATTACAGTTGATTTCTGCTGCAAGGGATTTTCCTACTAGGCGTAGTGTTGTCAGATTTGCCAAGCAGAGATTATGCCACGTCAAGATAGCTTCTTGTTACCTTTTCACTAATTATGTTTGCACAAAAAGCAACGTTTTGATTCCCTGACCTCCACTGTGTTGTTGTCACCGCCGCATGCGTTCTCCGGTAAATTATCGAAAGACTAGCGGGAAAAATTAATGGATGACATGACGTAAAGTTAAGTCATCACGATATAAAACAAACACACAGCATAACAAAGTATCATGGTTTTACAAACAAGTGCTGCCCATTTTGATGTCCAATAAAAAGATATTTCTTATTCGTTTTGTGGTCAGAAAAGGCGTTTGAAATGTTCACCTAGCCCCGAGCTCAGCTCGGGGACCACCAGTGGCGTGCCATTCACGGGTGTGTCATTCACTGATCCTCTACCATGTCCTCGGCTGCCTCAAGGACTGGGGCCGCTGTGAAAGAGCTTGTGTAAAAACTGAAACGTTCGTGACTTGTCTGGAGTATTTTTTGAAGTGAAGTGTGCAGCTCTGTCAACTTAACCTTCGTCCTGAATGCGCAGACCAATTGATATTCAAGATATTGCAGAAGAAGAAGTGTGGTTCTGTGTGAAAGTGGTTGTTTGTTTCTGTATGGTGTAGTTCTTCCCAACGATAATACCAACGCAGGCATCACCAATCACCAAAGCATAAAAAATCACCATAATATTGTGGGCCAGGGGCGGATCCGGGATTTTCGGCGGCCAGGGGTCATATGGAATGGGGCGGTATGTTTTTCACCTACTCTAGAGGCGGCTAAATGTACGATTAGGACGCGTATAGTGAAAAAAAAAAATTGAAGACAACGTCCTCTGTCTCTTTCCCTTCCTATGCTGTTGTTTATGGATATTGTGATTCGATGGCGTTGCGACGCTCCGATTCGTCACTCTGCAGGGCGGCATTTTTTACAGATAGAGGCCCGAAAACCCCGAAAACCCCCTCCCCTGGATCCGCCCCTGCTGCAGGCTTGGGATAATTTTACTAAAAATTATGATATAGCGTCACAGGACCCAATCCTTGATTGAGCTAAGCGACATTATGTGGGACACTGCCCACGAAATCACTGAAAAACTACAGCGAATGTGCGCCATAATCGAGTCCGAGCCGAGATGCTGCACTCAATTGTCCTTTGTGTCAGAATTTTTGCGCTCTTTGTATCTGCCTTCGCCTTCAAGTCTTGCGTATTTATTGAGTTTTGCGGTCTTGCGGTGAGTTTATTTTCGCTGCGTATTCATGACATTTTTTTGCATAACTAAAACATTTAAGGATTATAAATGGATTTCAGCCTAGTTTTTTTAAAATAAATTTAGTCCGCACATTTTGAATGGAAGGATTCACAAGGACAGAGCCCTCACTAAGCCAAGCTTGTTGAGTTGACCCTGCCCTCTACCCTCCGATCGCGCAACTCCGGTTCTATGGCAGAATTTGGAGCCCAAAGTTTAACGTGCGCACATAGCCGCGCACGGCCGGTCTCCTCACTGACTTCGCCTGACTACGGCCTGCCTTCAACCGCAACCATACCTGTCAGGAGGCTCATAAACGTCAAGCGCCCGTCGCGCATCGAACCCGGACTTTTGTAACCGGGACTCGTGCTCTCACCACGCGGTGTCCAACGCTCTACCGACTGAGCTACGGGACCGGCATTAGTTTTGAGTATGCTTGAAAGAAGTGATAAAGTATCATCACTTTATTGAGAACTGACATCACACAATAAATACAGCATAAACAGGTCTTGATTCAAACACGCGATCCAGTTTTCGTGACTTAGTTGCCGTAGGCGGGCTTGTAGGTGGGCTTGTAGCTCGGCTGAGGGTAGCTGGGCTTGTAGCTGGGCTTATACTCGTCGTAGCGGGCCTCACCCTCGTAGGTGACCTCAGCAATGTTGCCAGAGTAGGCGTCATCCACACGGTAGGTGACCGTCTGGGTACGGCCGTCGGGCAGCACAACCGAGTAAGATCCCTGGGTGGCGTAGCCGTCACGCGCCTCCTGGGCGTTGAAGACGGGCTCGTAGTCTCCGTATCCGTGGACGTCGTAGCTGTAGTCGTACTTGGGCGGCTGGTCGTAGCTCTCCTGGTGGTAGGGAGCGGGCTTGTAGGCCGGCTGGGGGTGGTAGGCGGGCCTGGGCGCGTAGGAGGGCGCGTTGTCGGCGGCGGCAACGGCCAGCAGAGCGGCAACCACGAAGAACTGAAACATAGGATAATAGTCAATTTATTTAAATCGTTTAGGCCAAGGTTGAATCGTTTGTCCTTGTTCTAGTTGTTTCCAATGGCTTGTCGATATTCGAAAGAATATCCCATTCACAAAACTTTTACCATTTCCTTCTTTTTTGACCACTCCGCCTGGATTTGCGTAACAAACTTTCCCAAAACAGCCTCGGTTTGGAGAGCACCTACCTTCATGTTGAGTGTGCTGTGGAGCTGTGTGATCAACTGATGCCGACCTGCGGACCGGAGCGGCTTTATACGACTCGGAGCCGGGCCGTGACCTAGACATTCGCCGATGGACGGGCGTGGCCAACGCCGGGGCGCCGCTGAGGACGAGATATTATGTCAGATACTAGTTAAATAAAGACGACCCTTCATGGTCTGAGCGTAAGATAATGTTGCTGTTTTTTTTATGCAGAAAATGGGATTAGTCCCCTCACTCTGACCTTGAAACACCGGTTTAGAGAGACTCCAGAATTTATCATCAAGGACTGCCGCGTTTTTCTTGGCACATTTTTTTCTTTTGTTGGAGTGATTATCGGCCGCCAAAAGCCAAAAGAACGCTATCATGCGAAGTGTGCAATCAGCACGTCAGTTCGTCATTTCTACGTCATGTGACGTACAAGCCCAGTCTGCTATAATGAGACTTCTGACGGGTCAGTATTCGGCTGGCGGAAGCAGTCGCAGCTGGTTAATATCGTTGCGTTGGGCTGACTGTTTTCAGCCAGGTAGGTCCCCAAACTTTTAGTCTCTCCCTTTCCCAATAACAGTTGCACCCGCTGGCAGATCGCACCTGCTAGCGTCTTCCTGATGCGTAGCGCCGTCCCTACGGCTGTCCATCAGGTTTCGGAAAATAAAAAAGCCATTTAGCGTCAAATCTTGAGTATGGAGAAAGCCAGATCGTTTCGATGTTGTGGATCACCTGGATATTGGTGACGACACAGACCTTATTTGGAGGATAATTATTTATGCGTCTTGCAATATGCGGGACCCAGCTGTCGTCGGCCAGCCTCTGCCGCCGTTTCTGCTGGAGCGATGGAAGCGGCTGCTTCTCTAGCTGGTCCTGATCATGGTATCCAAGGATGGTGGATTTATTTTGTGCTCTGGATTGACCAGGATAATATTAATGCCCTCCTGGTCCCATGAAGATATTGTCGAAGATATCCGTAGTTAGCGTCGCCAAACTCCTGTGGCATAGGAGAGCAATCGTGTTGCACCGACTGCGTCTTTGACTCTTGCCTGTTGTTTCCACCAGGGTTTCGGCTCAAAACTCGTCTGTATTCAAGTGCAAAGCTGCCAAACGCTCTCAAAATGTATTTTGCATGGCTAATGAATGCTCTTCCTGCACAATCATGACCTTTGTAGGGGCTAACTGTTCTAACTCTTAAAGTTATTTAAGTGCGCTTAGTTTCAGGCAGAGCTAAAACATACTTATTTCAATTAGATATATCTGAACGAGATGTTCCTGAAACTTGGTTACGTCCTCCTTTTGGCCATTAAAGGTCTGCCCTCGGCGTCGCCTGCGGCCGGTGTCAGCCGGCAGTTCCTGTCCTTATGTCCTCAGACACGAGGCAGTGCCGAGGGCAGATGTTATAGGGCAAGGAAATGAATGCGAGACGAGGTTAGGTGGCATGATGGGGATGCGGGCGGGTCGCCCCACCGCACAGCGTCCTCTCCTCTCGCCCCCGCGCGGCGACTGACTGTCTGTGAGGCACCGCGGTCGGCCCGCCTCCCCTGTTTGTCACTCTAGGGTGTTATCACTGCCGGCGGCCCGGCCGTGTGTACTTTACCGTCCCGCTCTCCTCTCTTACCCCCTCCCCTCCCCATACCCTCCTTCAATCCGCGGTGGTCGCTGCGCCGGTCTCTCGTCCGACTCACGCTGGCCAGAACCTCAGTTACCTTTGTGCGGTAACTAACTGATATTGGATGCACCACGTATTTGAACATTCGCCGATCAATTCGCGGTTTTCAAGTTTCTCACAGGCCTTAGGTCAGCAATCACTTATCAGCATGCATGCATGCGGCTTTGTAAAACTTGCATCGCTTTATAATTTGTTGCAATCGAACTACAATGGTTAAATAAAACTTAATCTGAATATCTAATTGTAGCGTTTTTGTTTTTCAGCGTCGAGCTATTAAACACAACTTTGGGTGTAAAAAATAGCTATCTCAAACCTGATGAGTGTTTGCCTGTAAGCTTCAACACGAGTTGTAAACGTCTGCGAAAAAAAAAAGAATTTTTCAAAATATAGTTAGGTAAACGACTGAGCCGAAAAACTTACCACGATGAAATAACATCTAAGAACGATTTTAGCAAATCGCTTTTCAAGTCGAGATACTTGCTCCCTGCCCCCCCCCCCCCCATCCTTCCCCCGGTCATGAGGATTCATCTACCATGCCCGGCATGTCGGGCGAGGTATGACCCCCCCCCCCCCCACCTAAAACTTTCGCTTAGATCTGCCCATGTATCACACAACCCTCGCCCGTATTGGTGTTTTTCCAACCGCGAACTTATAAGAGGGGGTCCGCTGGACCCCCCCCCCCCCGCCTTGCCGTTTCGCCCCTGATCGAGCTAGAGCTTCGTGCAAAAAAAAAACGAGCGTGTTGCCCGTGACGAGAAGAAGCCAATGATACCCAATTTTAAGGTCCTAGGTCATTGGTTGACCATCCATGCCAGGTCAATGACCTAAAATTCGGGAAATCGGGACCTGTTAGAACGTCGTAAAGTGTGGCTGCTGTGGGGGTTTCGGGGTGCTGATCATGAATATCATATTAGTTTTGATCACAGATGATGTCTTCATGCATTTAGGCCGGGTCGGGTCAACCAGGTCAACCAGTAGGGGTCCTGTCGAGTATTCGTAGTAGGTGGGGCATTCCACGATAGATCGTACCAGGCCCGTCACCCTCATCTCTCAGATTTTAATGAAAATCCGTCCTAGGGGTAATCATAGGCCCCAAAGACGCCTGGCAAAATATCAGACTTCTCAGATCAAAACTTTTTGAGTTATATTGCATTACATTTTTAACTTCGGTTTGTAACGGTGAGTTTGATGGCCTATAACTCAAGAACAGGTTAAGCTACCAACAAACAGTAAACAACACTAAGCTTGCGATGAATCAAAAATTAATATTACCATTTAAAAATTCAAAAGAAAAATTTTCATTATTGACCAAAAACCTTAATCTTTTTTTATTTGCCTCTAATGACCTTTGGGACCAAAATTTTCCAAATTTTTATTTTTTTTTAAATAAACTTCATGTCATTGCAAATCGACATGCAAAAAATTAGAAAGGTGTTCTTTCTATAAAATCCTCATTTTCCCGCAAACAAAATGGTTTCGGAGGGGTTGATACGACCCCAGCACGCCGTTTCGCTTCTAATAGGGGAGAGTGGGGCAAAGCGGCCACCCTAACGCTTCTCACGATGCCAACGCTTGATTTTTAAACTTGGAAAGATTCTTTCTATACCAATGTGATCCCTATTAAGTTGCCTTTTATTTCAACTGCGTTTTATTTCCAAAGGCTTTCACATATGAAAGATATTGACAAAACTTTAAACCTATGCATATTGGCCACTTTGCCCCATACCCTGGGGCAAAGCGGCCACCGGCGTCTTCTCAAGTCCCGATATGAGAAACAAAATAGATGCCTCGTGTACGACTAGGGTATTTGATGGTGACAAGGTTAAGCGAGGATAGATGTTTACTTTATCATCTTCCACCTGTAGGTAAGCAAAGAAAGGATTTTCGTGAAAATAAACATTTAATTGCATTATTTGGTAACTCATGCAACTGAAAAGTGGCCAAGATGAATGCATGACGACACATTTGAATATAAATAATGTTTTTTTATCCAGGTGGAAGCAACTTATGGCCAATTGGGGGTGGCCACTTTGCCCCGGCCACTTTGCCCCGCGCATAACGTCCGATACAAAAATATTCCAGCTTAGCTATTAGTGGGGTAAAAAACATTAAAATTGGTAGAATACATGTACGATAACCATGCAATGCATGGACAAGAACGCTTATAAAAATTCCAAACGGTTATGGAATAACATAACATTTAAAAAGTATAAACATAGTTGGTAACCTGGCAAGAAATGCTTTTCCGTGTTTCACAGAACAATGGTGATGGGCCTGAAACCCCGGTCTGGCTCATTCGAACGACCGTGAAGAGAAGTATAATTGGAAACCATAAATTGGAACTGACGCCAGCTATGAAGGGCTAAAACGATGGGTGGCCGCTTTGCCCCGGGTGGCCGCTTTGCCCCACTCTCCCCTAGAGCTAGAGCCTCGCGGAAAAAACGAGCGTGTGTGCCGCAACAAGTCGCAGCGATTGGTACCCGATTTTAAGGTCTCAATTTAACCGGTAGCGTCTGAGGTCAGGTCAAGTGACTGAAGTTACGGGTTCGGTTTTTAGTAAATAACTTCGCAAAAAATGGCCGCAGAGCCGCGATTTTGGCATCATTGTGTTCGCCTAGCTCAGGTGCATCGAATGGTATACTTTGCTAGGGTGAGGCCAACTTAAGTAGTTTACCTCGGATCAAGGTCAGGTCAGAGCCCCTCAGGTCACGAAGCTGGGCAAAGGGTATCATATGGCATATCATTCGATTCGGAGGGTCTTCCCGAGTCCATTGGTGGCTTTCCCGACTCTCTAGCTCCATTTGATCGGGAGTTATTGACGAAAAACTCGTACGACCCTAGTGACGTCATAAATGACGTCACGCAAGGTTACCAATGCAAAAGAAAAGCATTGGACTTTGCAAGAAGTGCATGAAATCACGATACCATGTACGTGGGATAGTTTTAGATCATTCTCGGCGCCAAAATAACAGTTTTATATTTCCCCATTGACTTATAAAAGTGATGTCACGTGATCGACCTGACCTCACGTAACCTCAAAAATTCCCAGATATACAAGTTGTGAGACCTCTGGAGGACACCATGTATGCGTCCTGTAACTTTCATCTCGGACAGCTATGGTCGTTGGCGTCCAAAACAATGTCAGAACCAAACAGCCTTTTTCACCCTCGCGCTTATAGGAAAGAGGGTGGATGAACCCTCTTTTCACTTTTTTCAGATGACTCAGACTTCAATTGAAATTTCAGTAACCCGTGATGTCACTAGGCAGCTTTACCACGCCATTTGTAAGCTCCCCTCCCGAAATCACTATTCGAAACCGTTATCGTGACGTAAAATAAATACATTTATAGAAAGAACACCTTCCTATTTTTTT